CATGGAGGGTCCTATCAGGAAGAGAGAGAGCTTGATCAGCCCCATGTCCCACAGTGAGGTACCAGCCATCTGGGAGATTTAACAGAGTGTCTTGTGCCTTCTGGAAAAGGTTCAATGAACAGAACTTACACTTTGGGTTTTTGTAAATCCATTTGTCACTAATGGTACTATTATTAAACAGTTCTTCTGAGGTAGCATGTAAAGGCTGTGACTAATTTGCCTTTGTCTGTGGTTAAGAAATACAAACTGCTTCCTTGGATTCAGAATAATAGAATGAAATATTCCCATTTCCTGCAGACTAGTGAAAATAAACAGATCTGATCTCAGTTGAAAGAATGTAAGTAGAACAGGCCTTCATTTGTAGGGGAAAATAAACTCTGCTGATCCCTTAGATCTGGGAGTATAAACAGCGTCTTTTTTCTCCCAGGGCAGTGCATAATGTGAGTGCATGGTTTGTACATCTTCAAAATAAACAGCTAATCACCCTTTCCGGCCTAATTAGGTTATGTTCTGGCCCTTGGCTCTAGGTCTCAGACAAACTATTTTCTCCAAAGCAGTGCTGAGGGAAGCTCCGTTCTTCTCCAAAGAAAGAGTCAGTCCTACTCCATGTTGTCAGTTAATATTTGCTCTCTGAGGAAATCCAGCTTGGAGACCTTCCTTATAAGCGTGGCAGATCCAAGGTGAAAGTATTTTCATTGCTTCCTGCAAGGAACAAATGTAACCCTTCCTCGCTCTGCTAGGGGCAAGTGCAATGTGGGGAACAGCAGAATCAGTTTTGTTTTTTATCTTTTTCTCGAGTCAGCTGTCTCCCTGATTGCTGTGTATCTGCACATTGTAACTTGCCAGGTTTTTCATATGGGAATTTGTTCACTCCTTTCCATAAAAGTGATTTAATGATAGTACAATTTAACTGTCAGTGTCCTATGCAAATGATAACTACCTCACCCATGAGGATTGTATAGGGCCAGTGTTATTACTACCATACTACAGACAGGGAAAAGAAGCATGGGTCTGTTGTATGGCTTGCTCAAGCGGACACTTTGCAAGGAAAGACATGAGAATGCAGAGGCTGCTCACTGGAGCTCACAGGCAAGGTCCTGCATTGCTGGATCCTTTACAGGGCTGCCATGAGAGCTACTGTGCTTGAGCTGCGGCATTGTTATTGGTAGCAAACAGAATTCATACAGACACAAATCAGTGGCAAAGGCCAAGTGAACGTTTTAAACTCTGGTTCATCAGGGCTTTCTGGGCTGCAGCGTGGAGTCTCTCAGAGGAGAAATAGCTGACTGGATTCAGAGCATTACCGTATTGCACATTCCTGGATTTCTTTTAAAGTATTCTTAGACCTCTGAATATGTCTCTATTTCTATTTTTAAATAAAAGTTCTTCCATATCAAAAATAGACCCTCCTAACTTTAATCTCCCTTTTAAAGTATATTTTTGTTTTAGGAATACCTAGAGGTGCTCCTAGGACAGACTGGAAACTCCAAGATTCTGACAAAATTCCCATTTAACTTTAATTCCCAGCAGTGCTAATTCCTGTTCTCCTCATTTGTGACCAAGGTTTCCACTAGAGCTGGGGAAGAGCTGTTGAGGACCCCAGCTAGGCCAACTACTTTCTCAAGTAGTCGTCTGTAGCTGGATATTGACCAGGTAACGGCCCATTCGATTTCTTATTGGACCCAGGTCATTGGCTCCAGGAAGAAGTTACTGCTTCTAGCACTGGGTCTAGAGGGTCTGGATCTTATCTCAGACCCTTTTTTGAGTGCTCTTCCTCCAAATCGAGATGCATTCAGCAATCCTGTTGCCGCCAACCCTGCAGACGAGCCTCAGGTCTTTTGAGCCCCTCAGATTTATGTTCTGTCACACTTTCTCCTAGATGTGGAGCTTCCTTTTGTAACAATAATCCTGGAAAATAAGACAAGCTGAGCAAGGAACGTTTCTTAGCCACAGGCATTTAACTCTCCAGGATTTCCTTAGAAGTAACTGTTTCTGTACACTGCCCAGTTTGGTAGCACTTCTCTGTAAGCGCTGTATTTGTTAGTCCAGAGGCCAAGCTGAGACACTGCTTCTCTCTGAGCAGTTACCTGTAATCCCCCTGCTGCCTCGGAGCACCAGAGCCATCCCTGCCCCTTTCTGAAACCAGCCTCCCTTCTTTTGCCAAGGAGCTGCAGCTTCACCCACAGCTGGGGCTTGCTGCAGAAAACCGCATCTATCTGTGTGACCGGGGCAGCGGTGGAAAGGCAGCTGAAGTCTGGCTGCCTTAAGATAACCTCATGGTGATGGCTTTTTGGCAAGCTGCTTTGTAGCTTCTCCAGAGCGTGATTGCTATCGGTAGTGCCACGCGGGGACCTTTCCCTGGGGGAGAGGGGGCATGCGCTCCGTGCAAAATGGGAGGCATAATAAGGCAGGGAGGCAGCAGCACGAACAGTGTTCACAGTTTAATAGACATATTTCACACTGTCACAGCATCTTTGCAAGAACTCAGCTCCGCATTTAGGTATCTGAGTAAGTGACAGACTGTATGGAAGGATCTCGGTAGAGAGGCGTCTCCCTGTGAGCTGTGTTCTTTAAAAATCTTGATGACGGATGCAAATCACTTAGAGCCAAATTAAGGAAAATATATTTAGGCACCTAGAGAAGTAAAGAGGCACTTAATAGGATTTTCAGAAGTGCATAAGCAGATTAGGCAGCCAGCTCCTATTGAAATCAATGCTGACTGAGCATTTAAAAAAAATCTTTAGGTACCTCAGCACTGCTACAGACTGGGTGCATTTGGGGGAGCGAGTGGGTTCAAAGCCAATTTTTGTTCAGGATAAGCATTACAAGTAATAGAGCTCCCTGGTGGTGCCAAATCTCCAAAACCATAGGAACAGGTCCTTAAGCTCTTGCAAAAGCTGAATTATACTGGCCTGTGGGACTAAAAGAGCAAACCCTGGAGGGAAAGGTAATGAGCTCTGAGTGACTTGATGTGTGAGAGAAGCAGCAGGACTTCTGCAGAAGAAATACAGAGAGCAACACAAAACCAAGGAGACAGAATAATCACTGGATCATTGCACAAGAAAAGGCCTTGCGACAGCTTTTTGGTTGCAGAGCTGGCTGAAAAGGGCTAGGTGAAGAATCTGCAGATTGTTTGATTTTGACAGGGAAGCAGCACTTTTATATTCCTTGTAAATAAGCAGATTTGTCCCAAAGAAATGTCTTATTTTGTGGCCAGTTTCTCCTCCGGGTAGAAAGCACTTGTTAGATCCTGAATTTTGCCTCTGTAATTTATATATGGGCCATAATACCCTCAAGTCAGTTCCCTGCTTTCTCTGAGAGTCAGTTCCCGGTCTGTCGAATTGAAATCAGTCCTTATTTGCTTTATAGAGCAGTGGTGAGGGTACATACATTAAGGACTGTGAAGCGCTATGGTAACCAGGGCCAATTAGCTACTACCTAAGGGCAGTAGCTCCCAGATGTGGAATATCCGACAACCGCGAACCTACAGAATTGCTAGCAGATCACTCATTATTCCCCTCTTGAGACTTTTAATTGGGGAATTAACACATGGTATTTTTAGCGAGTGTCCTCAGAATGCTTATCTTATTCTATGGCATGTCAGTCCCTCGGGGAGCGCTGTTTGGGAGCTGCTGCTTGAGGTGACAGAGAGGAGTTCTCTCTTCTGAAATTCCTGTCGACACAAGCTGTTGATACAGGCAGTAGGCAAAAGATATGTGTGCCATAACTGTACTCTTAAGTATATTAATAACATTGACTGAATTAAGCATTCTCATATAACGTAGGGATTGCTAACTCCAGCCTCACACTGATGGTTTCTAAACTGAACTTGGCTATAGTTGGCCAACAGGCTAACCTCTGCTACCATGAAGACCAAAGGAAACGACATGCCAGAGAATTCGGAACCCTTGTTAATGTGCAATGTGCGCCAAGAGCCAGGCAAGGGAGGAGGCTAATTTCTGGGCCCGCAGACAGCATTCAGCGAGGGAAGTCCTATTTAACAAAAAGACAAGAATCCTAGAGACAGGAAAGAAGATTCCTCTGTGTTACGTCTTACCTGATCAACACCACCGAAAACTGGTTGTGGCAAGTTTCTAGATGCTGCCAAAACAAATGATTTTCTCAGAGTTTCTGGCCTTTTTTGCCTCATAACACCTTTCCTATAGAAGTTAGACCCTTTTGGCCTGACTGTGGTGGTGAAACAGCAGATACATTGATGTGCTTTGCCTATCTGGAAGGAAAGTAAAAAGGAATCTTGATAAGCGATGCATGCATATATTTACTTAAAATCTTTTTCTCTGGGTTGTAAGTGCTGAATTATTAGTGTCATGCTAATAAAGTCCATTTGAGCTCATGGAGCAGGCGCTTTCTCACTGAAGAAGTGAATTTGGCAATCTGCCAGCTGGCTAACAGGACGTTAATCAGACGATACCTAGGGACCAACACCACTACACTGCTTTTAATCTTTTGTCCAGTAAGGAAAACAGGAAGAAATCCATTTCCCTCCTTTCTTTGCTCAATGAGATAACCAACCAGTATAGAGTAGCTGCAGCTCAGCTCAATTTGGGAGTAAATATTTGGGTTTTAGCTGGGCAACTGAGAGAGCAGCACCATTCCTCTCAGCGGCCTTGCGGCCGGGTACCATTCATGCTCATAGTGGGGCTCCTCCAGGGCTCTGGCTCCCAGAGCCGTGTATTAACAGCAGAATGTCACCCTGCATTGGAAAATTATGTAGCTTTGGCTCTGATGTGCCTAGAGGAGCAATGTTTGTCTGACAGTGTCCAGCAGGCATTTAAGGGGATGCTGGCAGATGGTGTTCAACACCAAATATGGAGCCCAAACAGCGTCTGTGTAAGCGCAGTCCCAGGTGTGACAGGAGGAGGCTCCCAGAGCATGTGGGCACCCACCGAGTGAGACCACCCCACGCCTTGTGGCTCAGCAATGCAGTGCGAGAGGGTCTGGTTTCTTTGCCCCCAGACATGAATACATTGTATTTCCAGGAGCTTGCAGGACTGCCGTTGAAGGACACTGGAGATGTCCCCCCTTGAGTCTGCAAGGAGTGTCCGATGAGAGAACCGCAGCAGCTGCTTGGGGTAGGAAAGATGTACTCTTTGATGGGGTGTAAACCCAAGCTGGTCTTGTCTTGTTCCTATACGCTTGGGTTAGGAATAAAAACTGAATAACAGGATCTTTAAGGCTGATACTATATTTTATACATAGGCCCTCCTGCCCAGCAGTGAAAGACTGACCAGTACAAGCATTTACACTGTTATCCTGGGGCACGTCTGTCTCCGGAGGTGAGTGGTTCAGTTCCTTTACCTCGGTGCTGCTCTGGGGACTCCCTGCAGGCTCGGGCAGATGGTCCTGGATGGCCGCTCGTTTCCCTCACAGACGCTGCTCCTGCCAGGCTCCTCTCTTCAAATAGCACTGTCTGCACTCTCCAGAAAACTGTGGGGTCACAGGGCTCATGCAAGCTGGTCCCTTTTGAGACCCAAAAAAGAGCCAACCTTCTGAAAGGAGAAGATTTCATTTAAGTTTCTTTTCACCTAATGAATGAAGAAGCTTTTACCTGAAGAAGAAAGCAAAAGTCTTCTTTATTTAGTTTCATCCCGATAAAAAGAAAATCTTTCTTTGACATGTTTTCTGGCACGTGGCTCTTGGTAGGCGTCAGCCAGCCAAGCCACTTTTAAATATACAGAGAAGTAGTTGCAGCAAGAATCAGTCAACGGGAGCTGAGGCAGTCAGGGTATTCTTTTGTACAGAAGTTTTGTGTGAAAAAAAATACATTTTGGCTAGCTAAGATGTCTAAGAAAACAGATTTAACAACCTAATACAAATCTCAGGAACTGAAGTCATGGAATCTGGCTCTGTCCTGGAAGATGAAAAATCCCAGCCATTGCTGGGCAGGGGGTTGGCTAGCTTTTTAATTTCAATTTCAAACCCACTGATTTAGACTCCTCTAATGAACCCCTTTGCCTGATGATGAAAAATTTAATGTCACGCCAATTTTTCTCTATTGCTTAGAATGTGTAACTACTAAACTGGAGATACAGCTTTTGGTGTAAGCCATCATAATCCTTCTACTCTTGCAAAGTTCTGGTATGTAGTATTTAGACCACTGTGTGGGTGGGGGTGGGGGTGGGGGTGG